GATTGTTTACCTGCAAATAACAACAAAGGGCCAGAAGAGAACTAGGGAAATGAGGAAATAGACTTTTTTTTTCCCTAAAACTTGCTTAGCTTATGTATATATTGCTGACCATAAGATTTACAGTGCTATATTTTTTTTTCTATAACTCGGAGAACCCCTTTAAGGTTTTTTTGGCATTTTATATCTTAAATGCACTGTGAATTAATTAACAGTAATTTGGACTTTAAATTTGGTTAAAAACCCATAAAAATAAAAAAAATACCAAAAATTTAAAAATTTTATAAATTTGAAGACAATTTTGCATTTTGTGGCAAATCATGAAGTCTAGGAGTTTTTTCAATATTTTATTTGTTTTCAGCACACCAAAATACATGGAAATTAGATGAAAATAATCAAACAGCTTTTTAGTCGCAGACCTGTGTAATCATAAAAAATAATAATTTAATAATAATAAATTTAATTCAATAATATAATCAAACCAAAAACATTGGAATTTGAAATATAGCGCCAAGTGCACACTTCACTGAGCAAAGTCTCAAAATCGTTTTCAGTGTCTGATGACGAATTTCCCCACGAATCATTATCACTCAATTCTGCAAATAGTTCTAATTTATTATCGCTGTTCTCTAGCTGGTTTAAAACCGCTTTTGACCTAAAGGGACGCTTTTTGGATGCCATGGGACATTTCTCAGTTTCCAAGCAGAAAGAACAGTAAATATGCAGGCAGGGCACAGGACAAAGCACTAGGGACAAAATGTATGTGAAATGGTTTGATACAGTAATGTTTTACTATGTGATTTCAGTGTTTATTTAGTGAATGCCACTTTTTGACATTTTTAAATTGCCCGCCAGTTCTGTCCCCGTACGTCCTGATGTCGCAGGGAACGGAACCCGGAAGACAGATGCCGGCATCGGCCGGAGGATATTGCCAGGGACGCTGCAGGGGGGACATCGCGGGAGCGCAGGACAAGGTAAGTGCAAAAGGGATCCCAGAGCAACGCTGCAAGGTATTCCCGAGTGTAGCTCGGGGTTACCGCTTGTGGTGCTGAAACTTTACCCCGAGCTACATTCGGGAATACCTCCAGGGAGGTTAAGGAAGCCAGTATTCTACGATCAGGAAAATAGGAATTTCTGAAGTACAATACAGGACAGAGGATCCTCCTCTCTGTTCTTCTGATCTCCTTATTGCTTGCTACAAAATTGAGGCTAGCTGGGAGTATAAAGAATTATAGGTAGATATCCCTGCAGCCTTCGTTTTTTTGCTAGTGTCCAGTCACTTAACGGTACCTGCATGTAAACCTTTCTTAAAGCAGAACTCTGGGCAAAAACTTTTTTACATGTCCTTGTTGCTGATTTCCTACCGTCACTGAATATGTCATCCATCTTCTGGTTCACTCAGTAGTTGCTCTGAAATAGCCTATTCATTTTCAAATCAAACTGTTAATTCTCTTTGGGTTCCTGTTTTTAATACCAGTGGCTGCTATGCCTCCTGTTCCCCCATCCATTGGGACATTCCTTCTATAGTTCTTTCTCCCGAAAGCAATGACATAAGTCAGCCTCACTTGCAGTGGTGGGCAGACTCTCAGACACTTTAAACATATACAGGCCTAGTGCACCCGCCTACATTCACTACAGTTCCGTGTGGTTGATGGGAAATGTAGTTTCCATTTACTGCAGAGAGAGAGAAGAGGATATGATGTAATCCCTGTTGTTACACCTCCTGCTTGAAGGAGCAGATGCTGTTATCTACAAAGATGGGGTCATGAAAATTCAATTCAACTTTTCTCCTAAATGGTGAGGATTTTCAAAATTTTCTTAACTGTTTAGTGTTTGGTGTTGGGGGGTGTACTAATGAGTGATTTTTTGCCTATCCCAGAATTCTTATTAATGATTTTTAAAAAAGCCTATGTCCTGTACTGTACTGCAGGAAATGAATTTTACTGGAAAGTCAAAAATCCTATCTATTATAACAGATATTTGTATCTGAATGTATAAAAAGATCTTGTCCATAATCGATCCATTTTATATATAAGGGAAACATCTTGAGTTTCTGCTTTGCCTCAGTAGGCTGGAGTTTGCTGGAGAATTCTCCCACACTGAACCAAATGTTTATTCTAGAACTTTAAAACTAAGTTTGTGTTCTTAGCTTGGCTTGTTTTTATTTGGCTTTATCTTTATTTCTTTTCCATGCTTGCATATGCATCCTTTTATTTTGGTAAGTAACCTCTGCCTCTTCTTTATGTTCTAGTTACCCTACACTGAGCTTCACTCTCCTTTTGTTATTTGAGCTAACTTCTGAATGACCTGGTTTGCAGTTTGCTTGTTTTGCTGATTTTTAGTAAACTTTAACCTTGATTTTTTTTCCCATGATATTATTAAAAATACAAACAGGTATTTCACAAAGTTAGAAATGTCTTCTATAATGTAATTCTGCCTCTGTGCACACGTAGGGCTTATTCTCATGAGCACTCAGCCAATAGAGTGTCAAGAGCTGTGTGTTTGCTTTTCTGTCCTAACAATGAGCCGTACATGCATCCTAAATACATGAATGGACATGTATGGGCTCTACAGACTCATCCACACAGCCATATTTGACAGTTACACAGGGACATGTGCACAGACCCTAACTCACAGGCTCTGCATCTAGGCCCATGCACCCGTCCATACAGCTGATGCATGCCCATTTTATGGTGCACCACTCCTGCAAATGTTATTTATATATAGATTTTATGTATTGGTAAACTGTGATCTACAGTATCTTTTTTCAATACATAAATAGGCATGAAATCAGCTTATTGGAAAGAGTCCTGGGGCTACTGGTTTAATGTTTTAGAAACCTTGTTTCTCTATATGATCTTGCCTTCACATTTGAACAATATATATAGGTGGTGCAGCGCTAAACATATATTGCAATACACGGCAAACAGCAAGCCTAAAATCAAAGCGCAGTGTGACAAGGCCTTGATGGTACAGAGGTAAACTGTTATAAAATAATGACATATAAGTGCCCACATAATGTCAAACATAAAGTGACAAAGTTCACATATAACTCATGATAAAGTGGTCACAGGTGCTTGAAAGTGAAAAAGTCCTTCCATTAAAGAGTAGACGTGAGACTCATAATCCAGGTGACCAATCAAAATTCTTCTGGTGTGACACAAGTGATAAAAAGTACGCACTCACCAGATGCGCAATATTATAGTGCATTAAAGAATATATAACTCGTGAAGTCAGCTGGATTGTCATGAAAGCGTCAATCTCTGGGTAAGGACCCGCTCCTGGAACATCACTGGCACCTCACACCTCTCATCTGGATGGAATTTTCTGTAAGTGGTGTGGCTCAAATCAAGAGCCCCCAAAAAAGGATGCCAGGATAGAGTAGTACTGCTTCAATAATTTATTAGCCAAAGATATGATCACAATAAAGTGTAAACATGCAGTACTGACCATGCATCTGAAATCCAATATGGCTGCCGGACCGGCATGGGCCTCGGCGGTAAAATGTCGGGACACTGCGGCTATACCTGATGCGTTTCGTGTCCAAACACGTAGTCATAGGGATCTGCCAGCAAGCGCCCGACATCTACTGTGTCCCTTATATAATGTAATTCATGGTGTGCGTATAACGCAACCGCCATGATGCCGACTATCGGCGCATGTGCCGTGCGCATCACGTCGCCGATCGTAGTGCGCATGCGTCAGCAGTCCGCGCCATTTTTTTGTGGATCTTACATCCAGTTACATATACAAACTATGAGCATGTATCACACAGTTTATCTAAATGATCCGATCCCAACAAATTCAAGCAGGGATAGTGTGGTAATCACATTCCATTATAAAGAGATGATACCACTTACAGTTGTGAAAAAGGAAATAGAATAAATACATATAGAACAGCAAGCAAACGTAAAAAAGTAATTAATAGAAATGTGAAAGCCATATCCAAAATAAACTTCAGTAAATCTTAAAATCATATATAATGTAAACATCCTGAAAATACACTATAGTTTTCCGTATCAGCTTAAAGAAGAAGTGTGGCATGGTGTAAGTTAATAATACATTACCTTCAGTTTGGAACAGCTTTGGTTCTTTATGTTAGTATTGTTGCCACACTTAAACTTTCAGTAAGAACCGAGTAACGGTCCTTTTTGAATGTTTAGGGGGATGGTTACAATTTGAGCAATCAGTCCCTTTTATTTTTTTGTCATCGTTCACTCAGAGGTGTGGCTGCGTTTTTTCAACGACAACACACCTGAGCAGCAAAATAAAGCTAGTGTTTCTATGGCAATGTGACAACACACTGAAATTGGTACATGGAGGCAGCTTGACAAGATGGTAAGTTCTGATTGGTTTTCTTCAGCACAAGGAGACAAACAATCAGTGGCGTATTGCTAATGTGCACAGTGTACACTGGCCACTGACCTCAAGTAGGATGAGCCCCGCTGTGCACTTACTGCACGCATTGAGGATTAGATTCTATTTGGGGCCTCAGTGCTGTTCTTTGAGCTTCAACCAAGCCTGTCACTGGCAGCTGCAGCTCAAAGAACTGTGTATCCCGCTATATTCCTCCGTGCCTGAATGTGCTCATTCCCCTCTGTCATTACACAGGAAGTGGAAGGAGGAGAAAAATTGAGAGCCTGGAGAAAAAAAACTTGAATTTTAGGGAATTGAATATACTGAGTCAAAGATAGATATGGCTGTTATTCTCTTTGTATAAACCTAAAGCAGACTAGGAGTTTAGAAGGACAAAAGCACCATGCTTGCCTTACAGGCTGAATAGTGTAAACTTTTTTTTAAGATAATCCAAAATATGAATTTATATTTACACATTTATAGTGTCGAGAGCAATGCACTAGTACACTCAAATGCGTGTCACAGTCTGAACACTTGAAATTTGTATTGGACAATCCACTGCCTGTATGAGTTTTGATGCATTAGTAAGTGCAAATGTGTTTGGTTCTGCCTAGATGTTTTATGTACTTTTTTCCTGTGCCCTGCAGAAGTGCAACACCATCCCCAAAAAGAACATCTGTTACTTCTAGGCCCCCTGTTGGTAGGGGCAGCAGAGACCGATTTACGGGCGAGTCTTACACAGTTTTGGGTAAGCATTGCTGCCTCTTTCCATTTTGAATTATGTTTCTAGTTTCATGTAAATAAGGTAGTCATTCTGGTTGAGTCCCAACTTACTTGTTTATACAGCTGAGAGACATGTCCAATTCCACATGCGTGGGCAAATGGTCACTTCTATCCCTGGATACCAGGTCCAGGTTTTAACACTGGGAATACGCTCGGCCTTCCCTTCTTTGCAACCATCCAGTCTGGGAGTCTGTACTGGCCTTTGTGGTATCCACTAACTCCACACAAATGGACTCTGCCAGAGTGTAGAAAAAAAAACAAACTCATTTTAATAGTTGCATTTCTTCTACATAAAAAAGAACTCAACCTATCCACAGCCATTTTACATTTTGAAAAGTAATAGTACTATCAATGTCCTTTTTATGGCATATTGATCTTGGTGTCATATTGTTTACTGACACCTTGTTTACAGGGTCACGTTGGCTATGGTGTGGCAGGTATATTGCATCCAGGGCAGATAATTTGTCCCGAACAGAATATAATCGTTTGATGTGTTGATGTAACCATATGATGCCTCATTAAAGCGGTAGACAGCTACACCTGTCAGCGGTGGCTGCCTACTAGCATCTGGGCTTCCAGATGCAGATGTCCCCAGTATGCTTGCTGCACCATGACCATTTTGGTCATCTGAATGAGGCCTAGGGGCTCAACTTCCACATCCTTGAGCTAAGTGCTGCCCATACACCTCCTTGTTGTTCAATGAGAGTACATCTTTGGCTAATAAGTGCCACTAGACATCTTGTGGTTCCTGCTTTCAGGCAGGACTGTTATTTCTAAATGTGTAAATTGACAGAGATATCGAGGAAAATGTGGCATGAGGACATTTTCCCACAAGCAACTAATATCCTGTGTAATAATCCAACAGAGGAAACGACTGCCACTTCAAAACTTCACGTAGCCTGAACTGTCTGATAATATAAAATAACCTACTAAGCAGAGGTACCCAAATGTCAACCATTACAGGTTCTGTTTAGGCGTGGACTTCTATGTAATTATAAGTGAAGGTTTTTAGTAGTTTCTTACATAAACTATAATAATAAAAAATTTATCTTATGTTCATTGATAGACACAACCTTTTTTATTCATGACCAAATAGGGTTGTATAGTCCCACCTACAGGAGTAGGACACTAGGCAGAAAAAAAGCTTGGGACTTCCTATGGGCAGTCCCCTCTGGGCATAAAAGCCCCTCTAGTCCTTCTGCCTAGTGTCTTCAGGAGTATGGACTTGTTGTTCTGTTGGGACTTGTGGTCTCATAGCCTTTTCCTTTTAATTCTTCCATGGAATTTTGCCTGCAGAGATCTTTTATCAATAGTTGGACTGGGCGACTGGCTGGATAATCTAGATCTAGTGGTCACCACAGTCTTACCAGCGAGCATGCACAGGCCGCTAGGTCCATACTCAGTCGGCCTGCGACAAAGCCCTACCCTTGACCAGGGTAGCCAGCGAGTTAAACGTCTCACAGGGACACATATGACTAGGCTCCAGTGGAGAGGAGGATCTGTCATGGGAGCCATATCCACACACTCCGCTGGATTGGCAAGTTGTTGCCCCCCCCCCCTTCACATTGAGGCATGGCATGGGTGCTCCCTGGGCTGCTCGGCCCTGGGGGGTCCCCTCCACCCTCCCTCACCCCCAGACCTTGGTGGTAGCCATTACCTATGTGGCCCTTCCACCCTCCTTCCCACATGTGGGGCTGACTTGCCTGCATCCATCAGGCCTGATAGCGCAGTTCTCTGGCTGGTTGTGGATGGCTGATGACACTGGGGTGACCATATCTCCATAAGTTATTCATGGGGCGCATGGGGTGCGGAGTTAGACGCATGCTGGGGATGATTGACAGCTACCCTTCTCCTCACCTCAATGAGAGTGTCCGACTGGTGGTACGGTCAGCCACTGATGCATTTCGGTGACGCTGAACAGTTCAGCTCTGAGGAAGGGGACACGTACCCAAAACACGTCAGCAGGCCGACCGTGCCACCAGTCGGACACTGTGTCATCATTGCAGGCCATTATTGTGGCATTCAGGCTTTTATATTCTCCATTTTGTGAGTGTTTTTTGTCTTTTTTCTTTCATAATAAACCTTGGATAATGCGCTAGGTATTTGCGCCACATGTGTGCTTCCTCTCCAGTTTTGATGATTTCCCAGTCAGAGGAGGGCTGCACAACCGAGAATTTATTCATAGGCTATCAACTCATTGAACTCCCTGGTCTCTTCCTGGCATTCACTCCCCCTTTGAGGCGCTGGAGAGTTAGTGCTTTTCATCCAGTTTTGCAGTTCTCTGGGCCTGTGGACCTCCCTCAGCCTTATCAGGGGATCCACAGAATCATTCTTTCAAATGCCACCACACAGATATTTATTTTCCTCTCCAATCTGCGGTTATACCAGTGTGTCTGAAAGCCCCTTATGGGGCTGTGCAGGTTTTGCTCCTCTGAAGAGTGCGCATCCCAGTACATGAATCAGAGTGGTTCTAGGGATTTTATCCCTATCTCTTCCCAGAACGGACAGGGTTCGCTCGCTCGCTTCTGGCCCTCAAGGCCCTGCATGCCTTTATGCGGGCTCCCAAGTTCAAGATGTAATCCAATCGCACGGTGGTAGCCTCCCTTAGACAAGAGTTTTTTTCTGGCCTCCATAGACAGCAGGGATACCCACCTGCACTTTCCGCTTGCAAGGGACCTTGTCGCTTCCTATGCCTCACTAATGGGGACGCGCATTCTCACTCTGTAGTGCTACTTTTGGTTTGGTCTACGCTCCACAGGCGTTTACATGGGCCCTGAGATCGGTCCTTGCCTTGCTGAGACCAAGACGGACTGCTTTGATCAGTTACTTGGACGACTTGCTATGACGTGCGAAGAATCACTTGTTCCTGATGGACAGTATGAGGATTGCCATGAGTTCCCTATAGGACTTCGGTTTGATCCTGGAAGTTTGTGTTGTCCCCATCCAAAAGCCTGGATTGTCTAGGGCTGATGCTCGCTGGAACGGGCCAAGGTGTTCCTCCCGTTGGACACTTTTCAGAAGCTCTGATCGGAGGTCTGAGAGTTCTGGTCATGCATGCAAGTGTCCCCCGTGCTTTGTTTGCATGCAGGCGTTTCAATCTGATGGTGGCCACATTCAGAACAATTCCATCTTCTCAGTCCCTTACGAGAGCTCTGCAAGAGGATACCCTATCCAAATGGCAAAGGCTGTCCACAGAATTGGACTATCAGATTCCTCTGGAGCAGTTGGCAGGGGTCTCGCTCATCTGGTGGCCACAGTCTCTGTGTCTGCGGACCTGGTAAGTCCTCCTTTCCACTTCACTGGTAACGACAGATGCCAGCCTGTCGGGCTGGGGAGAGGTCCTGGGATCGGACTTGGGTCAGTGGACTCAAGGAAGCTCACCTGCCCATCAATATATTGGAGCTTCGGACAATTTAGTTGTCACTGATGCATTGGACAGATTCCATGTGGGGCCTGCCAATTGTGATCCCATCAGACAGCAACATCACTATGGCTTTTGCCAATCTTTAGGGAGGTAAGAGAAGTGCTGCAGCAGCGCTGGGATGTCTCCCATCCTACAATGGGCAGCAGGGTATGTTCCAGCCACATCTGCTGTACCCCTTCCAAGTGTTCAATACTGGTAGGCAGGTTATCTCAGCCATCAGTCACTGGATCAGGGGGATAAGTACCTGCACTTTCCATCAGCTTTGTCTTTACTGGGGACTCCGGTTGTGGATCTTCTGGCCCTTGGCCTCAGCTGGGGGTTCTGAGGTTCGTGGCAAGATAGCTGGATCTTCTGGCAGATGCAATGACTGCGCTGGTGGCTCTGTGGGATCGGTACAATTTCATCCAAGCCTCTCTACCCCTTTGGCTGGTTCCTCAACTGCTACGTGTATAGAAGCCGAAGGAAATACTGGTGACTACGGACTGGCGTTGCCATCCATGATACGCAAATGTGGTGTGGTTTGTGGGAAATGCTTCCTGATGGCTGTCTCTTCTGGAAGACCTTATTTCCCAGGGGCCAGTTTTTTTTTTTCCCCAGCCTCACCCCTGCTGGCTTGGATGGTATGGCTGTTGAAAGCCAGGGTCTGTGGAACAGCGGGGTGTCTGGCTCGATGTTTCCGAATTTGTTAAGGGCTCGTAGTCTACTTCCCAGAAGACTATCATCACACATGGAAAGCTTATATTATGTGGAGCTTGGGGTTCCATCCTCTTCTTGGTGACTTGGGTGTTGGCTTTCCTTCAACATTTGCTTTGAGTATGATCAAAGGTCAGGTATCTGCTTTGGCTGTTTTCTCTATGCCTTTCTCTGGTTCGCACTTTTCTCCAGGGGGTTCATCTTGCGGTGCCCTCCGTGCGCTCCCTGTTGCCCCTGAGGGACCTGCATTTGGTGCTGAGCATTCGGGATATTCCTTTGCTTAAGCTCCTTCAGAAAGTTGTGCTCTTACCTGCTTTGGCTTGGCAGGGCTGGAATGAGCAGCTTGGCCAGTAAGCTCTATCCGATTTTGCTCAGGACAGGTGGTGGCCAACCCCCTCCTTTTCTTCCGAAGGTGATGTCATATTTCTACATGAATGGGCGCATTGTCCTTCCTTCTCTGGGTCCTCAGCTGTCACACCCTAAGGAGGTGACTTGCACTCCTTTGATGGGGTTGTGCGCTTCATGTGTACCTTTCTGTGACGTCTGCCTTTCGGAGGTCCGATGCTATCCTTGTGCTCACAGACAGTCCGACGAAGGGCCTGGTGTCCTATTCTGCCATTAATTCCTGTAGGATTTAGCAGACAATTGTTCAGGTGTATGCCATTAAGGGACAGGAACCAACCTTCCTTGGCACAATCCACGAGGGCGGTTAGCGCCTCCTGGGTGTTCTGACTCCAGGCGTCTGTTTCTGGAGCCAGAGAGGTGGTTATTTTTTTTCTGCCTAGTGTCCTACTCCTGTAGGTGGGGTTATAAAACCCTGTTTGGTCATGAATAAAGAAGAAGCTGTGTCCATCATTGAACTCAGAGAAAGGGATTTTACAGTGAGTAACAAATTCCGTTTTCCTGAGGTTTAAACCCTATTCCAGCCCACTCAAAAAACTTTTTACTACTGTTTGTGTCCTTTCACTTTTCAAACTGTAAGTAACACACAACAACTTGACAAAAAGACTTTTCATTAGAGTTGAGCTTTAACTGTTATCAGCACAAGATTGTATGGAGTGAATACACCTTCTAAGTGAGCCTGTGGTCGCCTAATAATTCTAATGGTTATCCAAACAGGTGATACAACAATTGAAAGTGGACAGCATTACTGGGAAGTTAAATCTCAGAAGGACTGCAAATCCTACAGCGTGGGCGTCACATATAAGACACTTGGCAAGTTTGACCAGCTAGGGAAAACCAATATAAGCTGGTGCTTACATGTGAACAACTGGCTACAGGCAACATTTTCTGCAAAGCACAACAACAAGGCAAAAGCCTTGGAAGTAGCAGTACCAGATAAAATAGGTGTATACTGTGACTTCGATGGAGGTAACGTTTTAGCTATTGTGTATGATTTATCACCTTACTACCATATGTTAATATTTACCTGTCGTGATAGGAATATGTGAGCTGCCATTGCTTATCTCTTTCTTTAAATGATACTTGCCTGTCTGTGACAGACTTAAAGTGTTACTAAACCCAGGACCCTGCATCAACTATATCCTGTCTCCCACAGTACAGAGATCATGGAAGTGCAATTATTTTAGTGAATATAAACTGCTAAATACCTTTTCTCATCTGCAGTTAGAGCAGTCTTGTGGCTTCTATCAGTGTTCAACCCAGCACTAGCTAAAGCTTGTAGGAGGAGTTTTCTTTCTGCTCTTGGAGGATGCAGGACCCCTGACCTCTGTCTGACCAGTGCTGATTGGCTGTGTGCTGATCACATGCACTCTCCCAAGAAAAAAAAAAACCCTCTAGCAATACACACCAAACTGAGCATATGCAAAATGCCTAAAGTTCAGTCTGTCTTATCAGAAGATAAGAGGTGGTTGCCTGAAAAAGGGGAGGAACAGAGAAGAAGGAATCAAACAATCGTTTTACACAATGCAGAGGATTAACCCCTTAGGTTCCACAGTGAGTATAACAAGCATGCTTTACTGCATATACAGACTGATTTTAATGTTTTGGGTTTAGTAACACTTTAAAATGTATGTAAACTCTGACAATGAACAGCTCATATTTGCTCCCTTTTTGACTGATAGATATACATTTACATTTTTTGGTTATATCTGTTTGATATGTACACAAAATACTTGTTGATCCTAACAGAAATTGTGTGAACTGATAACTCTCTGTACACTCTGCCTGTGCTGCACTCTTATCCATAGCATCATTCTCAGTTATCTCTATGGACTAGAGAACACACCCATGCTGTAAAGAAGAGGAGAGGTGTTTTTGTAGTTAGAACTGGGGAGTGTAAAATCTAGTGCAGCTCTGCATAGAAACCAACCAGCTTCCAGGTTTTCTTGTCAAAGCTTAATTGAACAAGCTGAACGTAGAAGCTGATTGGCTACCATGCACAGCTGCACCAGATTTTTCACTTTCCAGTTTTAGTAAATCAACCTCTTACCGTCCTAGGGTGAAAATGATGGTCTTCCGTAGATACTGTACAAAGAGTAAGCATTGTAACTCTAGGACGGGATTATGTCGCTGGCAGGATCACAAGTTAGAAATCAGGGGGGGAAAGCCGGAAGAAAAATAAACATAATGCAGCTAACACATCTAAGGACTAAGCTGCAATATGTAACATGTTTATTTTCAGGTTTACATGGAGTTTAACTAAGTCTGAGTCACTGCACAAAAACATTTCTGAGTCAGAATGTGTTATTGGCTCTCAAGTTCTTCACTGTGAATACAGTTTCATGCAAGGCTACAATGATACACTATGGTGGGAGTGTCACAAAATTCAAGAATACTGGGAGGGCATAGTGAGTATAATTCAGGAAATAACAGGTAAATATTCCTAAGGACCCCGAGACTTGCCTTCTTTTTGGTACAGAGATTTCGGTTAAAAAATATAAAAAAACTGGATTATTGTATTATCTAAGTGCAGCGAAGGGACTGATACCCAAGTTTTGGAGGAAACAACAGACACCGAAAATAAAGGATTGGGTAGAAAGAGTGGAGAAGATATACAGAATGGAGGAACTTTGCCATATGGAGGAAGATAAAATGGAGGTATTTCGTACAAGTTGGGACAAGTGGGTACAGTTTAAAAAGTCAGAGGCATACCCACAATATGTGAAATAGGGAAAAGAAGGGAAAGGGGATAATTATAGTACAGTACAGTACCAGTAATAGCTAAGGATCAGGATTTCTAGAATTAAGTTAGAAACAATTCAGTACTGTCCGTGATACTTTTTTTATTTGCACTAACATACAGTTTTGAGGACAAGCTTTTGGGGAGTGTCCCCTTCTTCAAGGTCCAAGCAGTACTGTTACAAAGTTTTAGCAGAATGTTAGAAGATATGTGGGGATTGAGAGAAAAAAAAACAAAAAACAGAAAGAAACACAAGCCTAAGGTTGGCCTAGAGATAAGAACAGCAAAGCAAAAAGCAAAGACTGGGGGGGGAGCAGCACTCACAGAGGGAGTCATAAATATGTTGGGTAATGGCTGAGGAATCCCATGTCCAAATTAAGGCCGTTATCTCTTGTGTCAAATAGAATTATCATTCTTAGTTCAAAAGTTTTTCTTTCCTGGATGGATTTGAAATTTCCTTTAAGAACAAAACATTGATGTCTTCCATTGTGTGGTCCGATTGTGCGAAATGGTGTCCCACAGGTGTGCAAAGGTCATCTTCTTTATGTTCCTTGATGGTATGTCTGTGCAGATTCATTCTTGTTTGTAACTTCTGTCCTGTTTCGCCAACATAAGATCCTTTGCTACACTTTCTGCACTGGATAAGGTACACAACATTACTGGAGGTGCAGCTGTATGATCCGGAGATATTGAAGATCCCTTTTGAGTGTCTGACACTTTTTGATGGATTGATTTGGTTGCACAGTTTGCAGCATTTTTTATTGCAGGGTTTGCTTCCATTATTTGTGACATCTTGATCAGAAGGAACTTTCCTACTGATTAGTTTATTTCTGAGGTTGGGGGGTTGTCTGAAGGCCAGTATTGGAGATTGCTGGAATATTTCTTTCAGAGTTCCATCCTCTGTTATGATGGGTTGTAAATCTTTGATTATTTTTCTTATCCCTTCTAGTGCTGGGTTGTATGTGGTTATTGGAGGTACACGGTTGTTGTATTTTTCTCTTTGTACTGAAGCAGATTTTCTCTTCGGGTTCTCAAGGCTGTGTTTATGCTGTTGTTGATAGTTTTGTCCTTGTAACCTTTCTTATGGAAGGAGTCTGCTAGTGTCCCAAGATGTGTATCTCTGTCTCTTGGGTCAGAACATATTCGGTGGTATCTAATGGCCTGGCTGTGTATGATGGCACGTTTCGTGTGTTGGGGGTGGAAGCTAGAACTGTGGAGGTAGTTGCATCTGTCAGTGGGTTTCCTGTATATGGAGGTGTGAAGCGTATCATCCCTGATGTATACTGTGGTGTCTAGGAAGTTGACGTGTGTGTTTGAGTATTCCATTTTTAGTTTGAGTGATGGATGAAAAGTGTTGATCAATGAGTAAAATTGTTTTAGGTGTTCTTCACCTTCTGTCCATATATTGAAAATATCATCAATATAGCGATAGTATCTGTATGGTTTTTGTTCCATGCTGTTCAAGAATTTTTCCTCCAGGTCAGCCATAAATAAATTGGCATATTGGGGTGCCATTTTACTTCCCATTGCAGTACCCATGCATTGAAGATAGATGTCTTTATTGAAGGCAAAGTAGTTGTGTGTAAGTATGAATTCAATGAGCTGTGTAACATCCTCAGCAGTGTATTTGTGGTTTGGTGAGGATGATAAGGATATGTGACATGCAGCTAATCCATCCTTGTGAGGGATATTACTATACAGGGATACTACACCCATGGTCACTAGAAGTGTATTGGATGGTAATTGCTGTATGTTGTTGATCTTGTTCAGAAAGTCAGTTGTGTCTTGCAGGAAACTAGCAGTATTCATGACTAACGGTTTTAAAAAATTTTTCTACAAAGCCTGAGATTTGTTCGGTGAGTGTATTCATACCTGTTATGATGGGTCTGCCTGGATTTCCTGGCTTGTGGATTTTGGGCAGCATGTAGAAGTCCCCGATTTCTGGATGATACGGAATCGCATTTATACGTTCTGAATGTAGGTGGGCTGGAAGTGTTTTAATGAGACCTTTTAATTGTTTTGTAAAGTCATGGGTCGGATCATAATCCAGTTTTTTATAGTAGATGGCATTTTCCAGCTGCCTCTGGCCTTCTTGTATGTGTTTGTATCCATCACAACAACTGCTCCCCCTTTATCCGCTGGTTTGATGGTGATGGCGTGATTATTGTGCAAATCGTGTGTAGCCCTTCGCTCTAGTGGTGAAAGATTGTACAGAATTTTCTTTTGCTGGATGGATATCAGGGATGTAGCTCGCAATCTGAAGCTATCAATATAGGTGTCCAGTTTGGGGTTGCGTCCTGTGGAGGTGTGAAGCAGCTGTTCTTTTTCTTTGTGTAGCACTCCATTGTCCTAGGATTCCTTTCACTACTGTGGAAATATTCTTTGAGCCTTAGTCTCCTGAAGAAATCCTCCATATCTGACAATACTTGTAAATGATCCAATTTGGTGGTTGGGCAGAATGTAAGGCCTTTGGAGAGGATGGTTAATTCTGGTTCAGAAAGTTTATGATTTGACAAGTTGATGATTCCAAGTTCCTCTGTTATATCCACATTTTCAGTCAGGTCAGCACTTACACAAGGGATACCTTGGGATTCCGGATTGGATTCCAGGTCACTGATAGTAGGAAGTATAGATGTTGGGTTGCTTTTATGTTTAGGTTGTATCCAAAAAGTCTGCTCTTGGTGTAGCTTCTGAAGTTTTCTTTGCTTCCCATTCATTGCAAGTTTTTGTATTTTGTCTTTGTAGAGTTTCCAATTCATTCTTGATTTGGTTAATGTTGGTAGGGTCCAATGATGTTAGGGTTTCAAACAAAGACTGCTTTTGTGTCCTGATAGTTACCCTTTTTCCATACAGTTTGTGAATGAGGTTATTCCTTAATCTCTCGCTGGTGCGTCTGCAAAGTCCTTCTGCATAAGGAGAGTTGATTGTATTTACGCAAGGATTTTTAATCCGGAGGCCTTGTGGTATGAGATTCCTCTTTTTGCATCTTGAGAGAAAGAAGATATCACTGTTGATCTGTGTTTCCTATGTGATTAGGTTGGTTAACTGCTTCTTTATGCGGCTATATGTAGTATCTTCCATTTTGCTTGAGGTGATTGTAGCCGTATTAGTGCACTTGCGACAGAAACAATTGAGTACTGTCAGATACTTTTTTTATTTGCACTAACATACAATTTTGAGGACAAGCTTTCAGGGAGTGTCCCCTTCTTCAAGGTCCAAGCAGTACTGT